CTCTCGGTGCTACTCATCAGCAATTACAGTATCAATCACAAAGTGAAGGCATCGACTGTCCGGTAGACTATTTCTGCTCAATCTTCCCGTTTTAGTGACCGACGTTATACTGTCCTACGTCTCAGAGACTGACTTGTGCCGTTTGGCTCGATGCAGCAGAGGTTTGAGAGCGAGGACCAACCTGGACTTTCTGTGGCGAGCTTTAAGCGTGGCCCGTGGCTGGGAGCGTTACGGCACAATTGTTGACCTGAACCCGGACGAGGGTTTCTTACATCACAGCAGTATCTTAAAAGGAGAGGAGAACACCGAGATGTTGGAACCAACCTGTGAGTGGAAGGCAGCCTGCATAAGAGCCAAGGAAGTGGAGGCCAATTGGGCTGAAGGTCGTTATCGCAATTTTATCCAGCAGTCGCCACGCACAGTCTTTGACGGGAACCATTTTGTCCAATGCGATACCAAGGGCATCACGATTCGGAAGTTCGCACCCTGGGTATGGGAAGTAAGTTTGTGTGACTCAAATCCAACGTATTGCTCGCTCTGGAAGGGGCTTTGGGATCCCAAAAAGGTGATTGTGTCGAAAGGGACAGCTTTAACTGTCGGATGCTTCACCATCCGTGGGAGAGGCTTCTTTGTCAGGACCTTTGATTGTGAAACTGGAAAGAGGTTGGTGGGATTCGTCTATGGCTCTCGCCCCGTGATAAGTAGCTATCAGTTGGATGGCGAGACAATGATCGGTCAGCCGTCCGAGGCGGGTGATTTAAGGGAGTTTTGCGTCTGGAGCAGTGTCGATGGGACATTACGCCACACATTGAGAGGCCATGAAAGAAGCATCCAGGATCTTTCTCTGTTCGGGGACATGGCATCCAGCGCTGCAGAGAATTTGAAACTATGGGATTGAACAAGGGGGAATGTCTGCGAAGCTTCCGGTGTCCAGACGGAGACTTTATGTTTTCAAATTGCAACTTGATGCAAAGTATATAATGGGAGCTTTTTCACTCGATGACGAGGCTAAAGCGAGTTTGTGGAACCTAGACTCGGGACACTGTTTGACAATCACCGCTGGACAAGAGTTTAGGACAGAGTGTCAGGTGAACTTTGGCATCGTCTCTCCAGGACCGAACTCCTCTGTGTCAATGGTTTACATGTGATTTGGGCCGATGAAACTAAGCTGGTTTTCCGAGCGACAGGCCCTGCAGTGGAACTGAAGGAGCCCGAAGGTCTTAGAGGGAGCAGGTCGCCGGACGACAGATACATTGGACGAATTCCGATCGGTTTCGGGGAAAGGGCCCGCTGGGGGAATACTACACCAGCTTCCTCTAATCTGCACATTTACATTGGTAGGGAAACATTACCCCTGAGGTAAATGAATTATATTTAGGAAAACGCCTGCGTTTTACGACTGAAGCCGTATAAAGCTTTTGTTCTTATCACTAAAACAGTTCCGTAGGCTGATACGTTTCTAGAAACTTCTTCAATGGCATCACATATGAAACCAGTAGGCCTGATATTAATTCAGAGAAAGTTTTTCAGTGGAAGCCACAACAACACAAACACTTCATTCCCTCTTAATGGCAGAGATGAAGAAGAATAGAAGTATTAGTTGAGTGATCAAGGCCAAAAGAGATGGCAAAACCTAGAAAGCATAGCTTGTATCATGCATGCCTTTCGGCACATGCTGACTAAGCTTTTAAAATAACCCGCCCCTCCCCTCTTTTTTCCATAATGTTCTAAAAAAAGTATATTATAAGAAAGCGAACTTTACTACCAAATTGTGTATTAATTCCCTCCAAAACATCTGGAAATTTTAGATGATTCTAGAACCCAGTTGGTAAAAGGTTTGATTGCGGTCTTGATTAAGTTCAAGTGTTAACCCACAAAATTGAAAACAACTAACAAAATAATTGCGCGACGAATTAATCATATACCAAGATGTTACAAACTTCTGTAGTATTTTTACACACGATTTTGGCTTTACATTTTTCGTTGATGTGAAAAAAAGGTGTTACTACTGATTTCATGTAATTTTGCATGGTTTTGTTTTTTTATTGTATTCTTAATTTGGTGATGCTACCGACGACTTTGCAAAAAATATACTTGAATTGTGCAATTTCTAATATTTTTCTTAAAACAGGTGTGTGGTTGTACACGTTTTTGTCATTTAACAGCAAAAGCTGTGAAACTACAGCAGGATGCAGGAACTAACGTTTGGATTTTTACAACTTGTGCTGCCTTTTTTAAAAACGCTATTTCTTTGTACTACAAATGTACAACTGTTTTTTTTTTAACTTTAATGTTTCATACTTTATTTATTTCAGCCGAGTATCAACCTGTGCAAAAAAACTGGGTTTTTTTTCAGATGGGATTTTAAGTAGTTTTTTGCTTTTTACTTTTCTTTGATGCATCTGAACATAATCCTGTTAATTTTAATATACTTTTGCATGTATTTGTTATTTTACCCATTTTTTTGTAATTTGACAAAGAATTAACTTATGCAAATACCTTTTTTTTTAAGTTTGTGTTGTGAATTTATGTGCATGTATATTTTTAAGCGAATCGCTCAGCCTTAATAAAGCCTGGTTTAGCAATTTTGTTTAATACACACTTGTAGTTGTAATAGTATTACAAAACATGTAGTTACAATAGCTGCTTTTGAATCGTGGCATCACTTTTTATTTCTTTGGTTCGCATTTCGGACCGAACCTATTATGGGCTCCCGACCCAAGAAGAAAAAAGGACTTTTTTATTGCCGCTGACTCAGTCTGGAACTCCATAAAAAAAATTAAAGAAAACAAACCAAATCTACCTAATCCTGCCTTGTGTTGTTTGAAAACCTACTGAAAATGAATACCAACTTTTACGCGAAGGCGTAGTAGCCAGTGCAACCCAAGAAGATCAGAGGTTGTTGCCTCGGGCTCTCATAATAATTATTAGGTATCTATAGTATACCTTGGGTGTCTAAAGTAAAGTCCTGTCAGAGAGCAGTCCGTGGTAGTCCCGTCAGATCACTGTCAGTCCTTTTTCAATCCCGCCAGAATTTCCTGGCAGCAGTCCTGTATCACGGTAGATGTCTGTCGTCAGTACTACCATAGAGCGAGGCCCATGGGTCTTTGCTCTATGGTACTACAATCCTTGCCAAGTCTCGTTGGGCCCCCAACCCCGTTCAATTTGGTCTCTCGTTGCGCGGTGTGTGCTCCATCAGCTGGAGAGAACAACATTGACCGGGGGAGCGGGGGAGTGGGTGACCGGGGCAGGCTCAGGAAGTGTCCCAACCATTTTGGCCGGGATTGTAGTCTAGTGAGCCGTGTAACTCGGTCCAGTGCACCTTTGCTTTCCGGAAAGACTGTAACAGGTCACAGTTAGAAGACCCATGTCTTTAATAGAGTTCCACATTAATTAGAAGAATCGTCGTTGATCTGATCGTTCACCACATACCGGTTTCTGTGATTAACAATGGACTAATCGAGAGATATAGGCGCCACTTATTTAAGCCTATACCTGAGTGTGTTAGAATAAATAATAACTCTATAATTACACATTCTGGCTGCTGTAAAGTTTGAGCGCTGTGTTGTAGGAGCATCAGACTCCAGTCCCATCCCGTTCCCCTGTGTTCCGCCTATGTTCAACCCCAAGCTTAAAGTGTTGATTACACGTACCGCGACCGCCTGGTGGTAGAGTGCCCCAAAACGGACCTGTTCCCCTGGCCTTTTCTGCAGCCGCTCGTCGCGTAGGTCGAGGGCAAGCCTATATAGGCAGTGTAGGCACCGTCGACCGCCACATACGGTGTCAGAAGTGGGGCAGGTCACACAGGTGCCGCAGTGCGCTTCTAGACACACGTCATCGTTCTTTCAGTAAAACGAAACAACATCACATGTGAATGGTTTTCGTTCTGCTGAAAGAACACTTACCTTTTTGTGATCCGTGGGCAGAACTTTGAAACGGTGTTTGTATTCAATATTCCGTAACTTGAAGAGTACATGAGTGATTGAATGATTCTTGTACTAAAAGAAAACGTATTAAGGGCTTTCATGTCCTAGATTTTGAAAGTGCTACATGCAAACCTGTATTATAAATATGGTCCTGACATTTGGGATTCGTATTTTGACTCCACCTGTACAGCAGACTGGACCTTATAATTGCTCATCAAATCGATGCAAAAGAAGATCAGGCCAATTTTACTCACTCTTTAACCAGCAAATTTCTCCAAAACTGTAACTGGGCAAAGTTCCTCAGTATTTCACCAACCAAGTGTGAAGACTCAGTTCAATTTTTAAAGGAGACTTTTCTTTAATATTTGGCAGTGGCTTGCACAAGAGAGGGAAGTCAAGTGATTTCAAAATGAGGCTAATGACTAGATTTCTACATGTCCATCGATGGTCCATCTGTTTGACAAGACTGACTTCTTCATTCAGTGTCAATAGTCTGGTGCCTGACTAAGGAGAAATGTGTATAAATAGTGACCTAGTACCCGACATCCTAGATGTTTCTTTTGGCAAAGTCAGCTGACAGTTGATTGATGCAGTTCCGAAGAGTTGTTGGACTGGTTGTTTTATGTGCCAGTCTATTTTCTTGTATTGCATGCTTTCGGTACCTTAAGTTTTTGGGACTCTCATACACAGAATTGAAAGTCCCAAATGTTCGGACTATCTGTACAGTACAACTCGTTGTGGGTCAAAATTATCGGTGAAAATCCCCAGGGCAGCTGTTGACATAAATCAAATCCGTGGAAATGAATACGCATATTGAAAGCCAAATCTGTCCTTTTCGCCGACCCTGAATGGCACAGAAATTGTGAGGGTGAAAAATCTTTAGGGCCTATATAACCCCTTTTGTTGCTCTATGGCCTTTGAATTCCATATAGCCATATGTGAACTTCATTTGAGGTCAGTATTCGGTAGAAGGTACATGAAACCGGACTGCTCAGGTCGTCTGTGTTTTGTGAGCAGAGGGTTCATCCATCAGTGGCTTAACAAAACAACAACAAAAACAAGCCCACACGAAAACAAGGATGAAGGATCTTGTTCATGATCAATCACCTAAAACGGGTTTGCAGTATGATATAAAGCGAAATTCACAATAGCTCTCTACTTCACAAGTAGCAGCCTTGTATACGTGACTGTCGACAAAGCCTTGCATCTGGTAAGTTATAGGAAAGTCTACGTAATTACTAAATACAAATGTTCATTGTTCGAAATTCCATGGAAAATCGACAAAGACATTTGTCAGGAATATGAGACTGCAGCATTTTTGTCGCCTATATGAATGCACGTTCTCGTTTCCAGTTACATTCTGAAGGGAAGTAGGCCTACACACAGCTTGTCGACACTGCTATGAATTGAGCGTTGTGGGTCAGTTTTGATTACTGGATTTTATTTTGTTACTGGATCTCGTAATTTACGTCGATGACATGTTGTAAACGGTGAGTTTGCCAACCAAAGATGATGATGATGATGATGTTGTTTTAGCTGTTTCGGTGTGCACACCGAAACATCTAATGTTGTTGTTATCTTCTTCCTTTTTTGGGGGGGGGGGGGGGGTGTCTTTTCCCCTCTTCTTTTTCCACACTTTTTGTGGCTTAGACCCATTTTTTGGCAAGATCGTGACCGACTGGTCCAAAGCACCAAACTTGGCAGATAGATTCTTATATCCCAAGATAAGATATTTTGAAGGGGTGACACCTGAAATTCTGTTGGGTAGGGTGCCTAATTTGCATAAATCGTAAACACCTACCGTGTAATATATTTGTTCCCATATCTGGTTATATTCTGTATTTTGTTATTTTTTGAAAAGTATATTTTCGTGATTCTGCTTACACATCCTTACTTTAATAACATTTTCTAAAGCATATAAGTGACTGGATATAGTAACGATCCACGTGGCTACTATTATACCCTAAAGTTGCCCGCATTTACCTTGTCTCCAGATATCACCTAGTATAGTGTTGCCAAACCTTAGTATTGATGAGTTTCAAATTCACCAAGTTGCTTACTGGCACAGTTACCCTATTCAAACTTTTATGGAAAACCATGTGAACAATGATAACATTATATTATTAGTCCAGAAAAAAACGGAGAAAACACCAGGTGTCCGTAAATTGGGCTAAAAAGTAGGTGAAGGGTTGCCTAACTTGGGAAACGTGAACAAGTTCAAGGAATTTCCCAAATTTATTGGTAAGAAAACGTGTGTACGTGGACATAATTATTGTAAACAACAATAATCTCTTATTTGGGGGGATTTCCTTGAATTTGTTCAAGTCCTCGACTTTAGGCAACCCTAATCTAGCCCAATTTACGGACATCTAATTAAATTTCCCCCTTTTTCGTGTTTTTTTTTTTGGGCTAAATATCAAGATGTTATAATTTTTCACATGATTTCGCATTTTTTTTGTTGGGGTTACTGATGTGCCAATAAGTAACTTTGTGAATTTGAAGCTCATCAATACTGAGGTTTGGCAAGACTACTTGATGATATCTGAGGAAAAAGGAAATGCGCACAACTTTAGAGTATAATAGTAACCATTTTGGATCTTTATTATGTCCTTATAATCATCGAGTCTCTGATATGCTTTAGAAAATGTTATTTAAGTTGTATACAATATACACGTTGTGTCAATGTTGTATACATGTAGACCTACGATAAAAAAAAACATCAGTCAGATTTGACAAGAAACATATTATTGACTGGCTATTCAGGGTCAGTTGGGTATGGGCGTCGCCAGGATTTTTTCCGGGGGGGGGGGCAAAGCAAATGTTTCCCCAAAATTCATTAACTTGTTCATTATATTCTAAATTTATCATTTTTTTTCCGAGCGTGAGCAAGGGAGCATTTGCCCTACCTGAATAAAAACAATCCTTCATTCCTTTTACATTACAGATAACAACGGACTTTATTTAACTCGGTCATAATGGCGTTTGCTCAAAGCTGCAGGCGGATGTTTGGCCTCTTCACTAGGAGAAAACATGCCGTAAGAGAATCGAACTCCACCCCGCTAAAGCGATGCCTTACCGCTGCCGATCTAACGTTCGTTGGCATCGGAGCCATGCTGGGCTCTGGGGTCTACATCCTTCCAGGAGAAATAGCCGGTGAGATGGCGGGACCGGCGGCTGTTCTGTCCTTTCTCATTGCCGGCTCGGTGGCTTTGCTGAACGGCTTCTGCTTCCTGGAATGTGCAGGCCAGGTACCCCAGACGGGAGCAGCCTACGTGTACGCATACGCGTCTCTGGGAGAGTTGGTTGCCTTCTTGGTCGGCTGGAATGCCATAGCAGTACGAGTCATGTCACTCGTGTATTTAGCGCAAGGATGGAGCGCCTACTTCGACGACGTTCTCGGGGGCCACACACGAAATTTCACCATTGAATTTGTTCTCCAGGGCGAGGAATGGGACGCGCCTCCTGTTGCCAGCTTTCCTGATTTCACAGCCGGTGTTGTGATACTTCTCGGAAGCCTCCCTGTCGTGTTGGATGTGGACATGTATGCTATTGTCAACAATATATTAATAGCACTTAACTTGGCAGTTGTTTCTTTGCTATTCATAGTTTCCATGTTCTGTTCGGACTTCTCCCTGCTTACAAAGCACGGGTTTTTCCCTTTAGGCTTCGCTGGTGTAATGAAAGGTGCAGTGGCAGCATTTGTAGGGTTCTGTGGATTTGAGGCGATCGCGCTCAGCTCTGAAGAAGCCCAAAACCCCAGCAGAGGCCTTCCCATCGGCCTCATCAATGCCTTCGGGGCGTCATTTTCAGCTTACACTGCTGCCACTCTGTCACTCACTGTCTTAAGCGACTACCAAGAGATCCAACCACAAACTTCTTTTGCATCAGCATTCGAAATGATCGGTCTTGACTGGTTGAGGTATATCGTATCCCTCGGTGCTATCAGCAGTATGACGGGAGGAATTTTGAGTCACTCTTACTGTCTGTCTCGATTCATCTACCCGATGTCACGTGATGGGCTGCTCCCTGCGCTGCTTGCCAAAACCAACGAGCGAACCAAGACACCTATCTGGGCCACCATGTTTGGAACATCCCTGGCCGTCATTTTCAGTGTAATGATGGACTTTGTGAGTGTGATTAATATCATGTCTCTTTTGTATTTGATGGAGTTTATGGTAGTTTGTGCCGCTGTAGTCATTCTGCGCTACAGTCCCTGTACACAGAGTGGCTATGTACCCCTGGACAGCGGAGATGAGGATAATGGAGACGGGTCAACTCTTGAGATGGCCGAATTGAACCCACCCGACCAGGCGGTCAACGAACTGAATGCGCTGACCAACACAGAAAGCAACGAAAGCACCACTGATGCTAACCGAATGCACGACTGCCTGGCGAATTCTCCGTCGGATTCATCGCAATCTTCAATTCTTCACTTGATAAAACGACACCCAAGGACGGCTGTGGTTTTCTCACTCGCTTTCCACTTTCTATTCGAAGTCGTGTTGGTGGCGCTGTTGACATACATGATAAAGGAATTGCAGCATCTTGAGGGCGCCTTCATTTACGGGGTCATTGTAAGCGGCAGCCTCTCTCTAATGATGTGCTATCCTCTCCTGGTTCTACCTACATACGACGCGGGACTTTCATTCAAAGTGAGTAAACATAGTACACCTGTACAATTGGGCTGGTCCCCACATTTCGTATCTCCGTTCTGTTTATACCGAACTTAAATGACTTGAAAAGCACTTCCCATTTCAAAGATACACGTGTAATCTTTTTCTTTAAAAATTCATATATCGAAGTACTGTTTGTAGCTGCACCCAACTACCATAGCAAATTGTAGGCTGACACGATCTTAACTGATGTCTCTATCATGTCTGACTTTAATGTTGCTAATGACACTTAGTCACCATGGAATCTGGACATTATGGATGGACACCGTGAGATCTGAGAAGTAAATAATGATAATCATAAGGATAGATCTCAACAATTTGAAGGTTAATGTGATAAATAAGCAAGGAATTATTCAAAGAGACTTGTATGGCCTAAACAAAATGACTGTGGACATTTACATTACTAAATTAGTGAATACCATGTGTGCATAAAAGACACAATTGCTTTGACTTAATAAACCATTATTTCCTAACTTAACCCTATATTTGAGAGAGTAAAATTGATGAAATATTACTAAGTAAGGTATTTACCTCGTTGGCCTGTCGTGGGTGAGCTAAATAGTCTTTAATAGGATGGTTACAGAAAAAAGCGGATTAAATCATCCTTCGATCTGCTGAGCACAGTTAGAGAATCAGGCCATGTGCAAGACGCAATGCATTATGGGAAAGTTAAAAAGTTCACACTTTCCTCAAAGCCACCATAGCCTACAAGAAAAACTTAATTACAGTCAAAATAAAGTATTACAATATCAAAGAGACCTTTCACTTAACGTTTGGACTATTTGTTTGGGAAACTTTGATCACATGATCAAACAAACATGGCTGCTTCCATTAAAAAGCATATCATGTACCAGAACCACAACAAAGATGGTTGTGCACATAAACAGCACAGCGTGTGCAGCAAATACCGAGGTCAGATCACCAACTAATGTCTAATCTACATATGGAATGAAACTGCCTTCAACAGAATATTGTGGTTAGCATAATTCTAAGCTCTCTAAACAGGTGAGTAATTAGAGGGAAAAGATGTCAATAAAATGAGGACTTGGTCACATCCCGTTCCACTTTTATGTAGTGAACCAGATTTAAATTAATGAAACGGGAAATATCGGACAATATGAGCTCGAGCTCAAAACACCCGAGACCTTACCAATCTCGGAATCCACTCAGCACATGCAAATTGTGTCTTTCTTTCCCAGGTTCCGTTGATGCCATTACTACCGCTCGTTGCTCTGCTGTGTGACGTCATTCTAATCGTCCAACTGGATGCCCTGTCTTTTGCTGAGGGACTCATCTGGATGTTGTTAGGTAAACCAGCAGTCTTGGGGGCTTTTGCCCCCCCCCCCCCCATTTTCCCAGGCCAACAAAATTGCCCCTCAAACGCACATAATGATCGCAGGAAGATTGTGCACCTTCTCAAGATGGATTACTACCCCTTGAAAGCACAAATACCCCTCTCGCAAAAATAACATTGTGCCCCTCTCGAGATGGAAAATTGGCCATCAAAAACAATAGTGCTTCTCTCGGGATAACTTCTTGAGATGTAAAACTGCCCCTCGGAAGCACAATTTTATTAGTTAGTAACATTTATTTCAATGATGTCATTCATGACAATAATGCACAAACATGTATACATTAGGAAAAGTCACTAGTATAATATTTGATAGTTATGTACACAGTGATTAATTATGAAGTGTGGAATTAAATGACAACATTTAGGTATAAGGTTAAGCAGAACGCTTTTGTGCCCTTACCTATGGACAAACATACGACAAAGGGACAAACAAAAGAATACGTGAGACAGACAGGACAAGCGTGAGACAAGGCCTAAATATTAATACACAAAATAATGGAATTTCAATTTATGAATATGATTCGAGAAAATGAGGTTTTTAAATTTTTGACAAACACAGATAGTGCCCCGCTTGCAACATTAAAATTGTGCCCCAAAGTGGCCTATAAAAATAATAGTGCTCCTCCTCACGCGAATAAACGGTCACTGAGCTGGCCATCAAAAGCAACAGTGCCCCTCTCGCGATAAAAAAAAATGGTCTCTCTTCTTAACTAGTCAATTTCATGGGCGGACCCAGAGAGGTTACTGCCGGGGGCGGAGGGTGTGCGGTGTGCCGAAGGCCCAAGGGCGGATCCGTGGGGGAAAGGCAGCCACTACGTAGGCCCTACACTACCATCTTTTCCTTCAAACAAAATTGGTTAAAGTGGTAAGAAACTGCCTCTGATCGCACCACAGAGCATCTAGTAGAATCCATTTTTTACGGTGCCCTTAAGCGCGTCCCGAACCCCACGTGAATCTGTGGACCCCTTTTTTGCGGACCACTTTTTTTTTGCCCCCTGAAAAAAATGTAGTTCTAGATCCGCCAATGCGGAGGCCGAAGGGCTCTCACTTTCACACCGACGGGAAGGTGCCCCTATTTTGATGACCCAGGAAGAATTACCCACTTTTCAGTGGGGGCGGTCGCGCTGTGCTTGTGTTCACCGCTGTAACTCACAAACGATGCGTTCTATTTACAAAGGTTCACTCTCGGATGAATTGCCTTTATACTGATTGTACAAATTTCTCGATTAGCCAATTTTTCGCCCTGTGGAGCCTGAGATCCAATCAGTGAATCTGTTGTATTGACGCCCACTCTTACCGGATCCACCACAATTTGCCTGCTTTAAGGAGCAGTTACACTCGAACGATCCACTATCAATCATCAATCCAAACAACAACAATTTATTTTGGTGGTGGTCATTTTGAACAGTAAGCTAAGCCGAAAGGGTAACTACATATTACTCTTTACATGTAAACTTCTAGCTTGGTAAAACAAATTTAAAGTAGCACTATAGTATGTAGATCTGCCACAATCTTCCTGCTTTTGGAATTCCTATTCCAAATCATACTCTAGTTTCGGTTACTGTTCATCAAAAGCAACAGTGCCCCTCTCGCGATAAAAAAAATGGTCTCTCTTCTTAACTAGTCAATTTCATGGGCGGACCCAGAGAGGTTACTGCCGGGGGCGGAGGGTGTGCGGTGTGCCGAAGGCCCAAGGGCGGATCCGTGGGGGAAAGGCAGCCACTACGTAGGCCCTACACTACCATCTTTTCCTTCAAACAAAATTGGTTAAAGTGGTAAGAAACTGCCTCTGATCGCACCACAGAGCATCTAGTAGAATCCATTTTTTACGGTGCCCTTAAGCGCGCCCCGAACCCCACGTGAATCTGTGGACCCCTTTTTTGCGGACCACTTTTTTTTTTGCCCCCTGAAAAAAATGTAGTTCTAGATCCGCCAATGCGGAGGCCGAAGGGCTCTCACTTTCACACCGACGGGAAGGTGCCCCTATTTCTTGATAATTGCCCCTTTTGGTATCCCCCCCCCCCCCCCCCACAATTTGAAAAGCGTTCCGCCGCCCCTGCATGTAGGTTTCGATAGCATGCAAGATGTCAAGAAATACACTGCGGGAAAAGACAAACTGTGAGACGTCATCTGATCGAAAATGAAAATAAAAAAAAAAAACACTCGGGGTGTAAATCTTCGAACATTTCCCTTTCAAATTTTCTATATCAATGAACGAAAGAAGACACTGGTAATTAAAGAAAAAATTACAAATATGTAGCAATTATCAAAACAAGTGCAAATGAGATGTGTCATGGGCTGTTTTTCTGGACATATTTGGAGAAAGTTTCATGCATATATATATATCCATTATTGTACCATTATAAAGAAAAGCACTAGCAAAGAACACACGCTCAAAAACACTCTGACCACGGTTCCATGGTTCAACAAATTTATTGAAATCGCATACTGAAGTGAAGCAAAGAACACACGCTCAAAAACACTCTGACCACGGTTCCATGGTTCAACAAATTTATTGAAATCGCATACTGAAGTGAAGCAGTGTATTAATAGAAACCTAGCCTTGGTGACTGACTCGTCCTGAAGTTATTGACACATTTGAAAAGGAAAAGCAAATTCCGTGTGCAGACTGGAACTGAGCCGCATCAATGAAAATGGCATAACTCCTCGCCACAGCTACTAATTTGAAAAATTCAAACTTCCTGTGGAAGACAAGGTGTAACCATTCATTTGAAACACTCAGTTTTTATTCTATTTGCCACGATAAAAAATGGTGAACTTTGATCCAGATCATTCTGATGCACCCTGTACATGTCTTCAAACGATAAAGTATATGTCTTCAAACGATAAAGTATAGGTCTTCTATTAACGATGCAATACAGGCCTACATGTCTCCAAACGATAAGGTGTACACGTATTTCAGTTGAATTTTCTTTGCAGTGCATTTGTATAACTTTTATAAAAGGTCACCGGTAGGTACTGTTGCTGTAATGTCACTGGACTACCTGCCTGAATGGTATCTTTGTTATCCATATAACAATTTTCCGTAGATCCTGATCACCTGTGAGAGTTCTGAGTATTTTAAAAAGGATCCGAAGTGTGGGCATTACTTTTATCAGTGATGTCTATGCAAATTTTATTGCCGTGGTGTACCCGTATTATTACACACCTCTTGCTGGTTCTTCATCCTGGTTGAATGAAACACGGTCACGTGTGGTTCACTAATATAGGCTAGTGCATGAAATTCGCGTCAGCGTGAACTAGACGCGCGTCAAGACAGGGCGCGCGCGTAATTTCCGGAGTACAGTGCCCGATCGGGCACTAGACTCAATTTTTTTGACTGGTTACAGTGCCCTCTAAAAAACTCAAACTCAACAACTGAATCTAGGGAAACTAAAACCGTTTCTTTATTGTTATATTGCTCATAGTTGAATTGCTTATGAATTAATTGTTGAATTAAAACAGTGATAAAACTCTGAAAAGTTTGTTTTCTTATTTGTATTTTTTTTTTGGACAGAGGTAAGTTACAAAACACATATGGACTGGCATAATTCGGTCAGGAGTGCACGTCTCTGCCCCCCCTCGGGCCTGTGAGTAACCAGAAGAGGGTCCTATTTTTGGCCTCGGGAAATGTGACCCTCTTCTGGTCACTCACAGTCCCACGGGGCGCATAGACGAGCACTAGTGACCTCAGTGCCAGTCTATATGTGTATACTATTATGGCCCCCTTAATGTTCGGAGCTGGCGACGGGGTTGCGTAACGGACCTGTATGGATCTGTATGTTCCACTGTTGTCACACAAGATAGTTTATGTAATATACAACGGCGAATGCGAAGTATGCCGTGGTCTATGATAATGTGAGCAGATTCACTGATTAATAAGGCAAGACAACCGCCTCTTGACCTCCTAGATTTGACCAATCAGCGGGCGCTTCCTATATCGGGTCTTCGGTCATTCACCCGTTCCGCGTAATAGACAATTGATTTTAAAAAACCTGTGTCACGCGCTCTGTATCATGTTACGCGATAAAGCGCCCGGTTGTTGTTGTATTACAAAACACTGCATTCGAATTGACCAATCAAACCATTTAGTCCTGATTTTGGAATAAAAAGGCCGTCACGATTTAGTAAAGTCATATCCGATTGGCTGGCGCGCGGCTTGCATAATATCTGCATGTCTAGACATATGAGACGTTCTACAGAAGACTCTTGGCTCCGTGGTTAACAGGTGATACTCAGACTAGTCGCACTCAATATACGGCTCCGAACCTCAGGCACCCTTTGAATTATCACGATAGAACAAGCTGCATGGAAGGTGCATTTCAAAGATTTCAGTCGATTTCTGCTGGATGAACACTGGAGTTAGGGTAAATAACTTGGTTCCCGAAACTTGAGCATTGAACGGAAATGAATGTTTGTTTCCTCTTCTTTCAGGACTGTTGTTGTATTTGGTGTACGGAGTGAGACACAGTTTGGCAAGTACGAGGTTTGAAGAGAGCGCCCCCAACGACAACTGAGTCCAGTGGTTTTGAAGACAGCGCCCCCAACGACAGCTGAGTCCAGTAGAGGCCTGCACTGATTAGTTACCGTTTTCTTCTTATTATTAGTTATTATTAATTACTGGTACTGAAACAAAAGAGTCCTTAAAAGCGCCTTAGGCACTGTAGCTCGCAAGCCTGAAGAAATATGTACAGAGAAGACAATGAGAAGAAATTACAGTTTTAGAGGTGTTAGGAAAAGCTCAGGAGAATATTCTGAGGAAAACCCAATCCACTATATTGGCGCCGGCGGGATTCGAACCAGGGTCACAGCGGTGGAAGGCGAGGATCAGGAAAGTACCGCTACGCCAACCTGACTTCCCATTAGTCATTACATGCATTCATGTCATTGACCTTTCTTACCTTTAAAACTGCGAGTCACGTTTCACAAGTGGCGAAATGTATCAGCTTTAATAGGTTAATCCAAAATTTCCAAAGGACCAAGGCGGTAGGCCTGAAGATTCGAACATGATCGGACCGTCATGATTAAAGCAAATCTACGGGCTGAGTCTAAACGAAAGTGACTTGATGAACAAAAATATGTGGCGTGCTCCACTTCAATATAAATAACACAGGAATAAAGTACACTGTTATTGACTATAACTGTGAAAATCGCAGTCGCCCTCGAACGATCCACCGTATCGATCATCAAGAGATCTTAGTTTTCATCGTGACTTGCACCTTCTTGTAGAGTCTTCTGGGGGAATAATAAGCTCAGGCCTGTGCATGCACGTTTGGCTTGAATAAGAAGAAAAACACAAAAGCAATTTGTTTCTTTAAACTTTATTGCACCGTTCATTACATTTGTCTAAATTAAGACCTTTGAAATTGTAATCATGCGAGTGCAGAGAGTGTAGCCTTTTGAATGTTTTATTTAATCACCACAGAATGTTTGTTTTCCTTCAAACTGCTGCCAAGCATCATTTACAAATATTGCGCTCGTGAAAAAAAATCATTTGAATGGAAAGGGCAGTCTTTATAAAATATTGGGGTATACCCCCTCCCTCATCCCGCTGGTGCTGTGCTTGCTAGGAAGCCCGCCATCACTAATACAGAAGTTGTCACTTGTCTCCAGACTTACTGTGTTTTCAGGATGAGTGTGTTTTATATAGTGCTAAAACAAGCGAGTGAGAGCTATATTTTTTATGTTTAAGTCACGTAGGATCATTCTTGCAGTAGTGAAGATACGGACGGTACCAACAAAACCCAGGCATTTGGTGATACAAATGGACGTGAATTCCAATACGTAAGTTTACCTAAGTAAACATGTTGGACATTAATGGTTAAAAAATCATGCAGTTTGTTTGTCTACAAATTTCGGTGATGCATGAGAGCGCATGAATGGCTAATCAACTTTGAATTCAGTAGATTGACTCCATTTTCCCAACGTTCTCAGCAAGTTTTTCTTCGCATCATTTGGCGTGACGTGCAGTACGGGACAGGGTACAATAATTGTTCCCGATGCTAAACAGATAACACCAAGTCCAATGGAACTACTATTAGGCCTACACCGCTAATAACGGTAAGTGCACAGAGCAGTGGCGTAGCCACGGGGGGGGGGGGGGGGGGGGGGGACAGCCCCCCCCCCCCCCATGAAACCTTGTCGCCTCCCCCCACTGAGATTCTGAGTTTCCAAAAAAAATATCATTGATCTACATGACGCCCCCCCCCCCATGAAATGTTCCAGCGCCCCCCCCCCCCTGAAAAATTCCTGGCTACGCCACTGGCACAGAGGAAAAAGAACAGTACAATCTACTGTGCTATAGTGATTTTTAAAGCCAATATGGATACTATTATGCGAATCTATTCAGTTGTAGGACCAGGTCAATCCACACACCTTTTCATTCGTCATTTCAAAGGCTCTTTTTACCATTATCATCAATCAGTGGCTTCAAAATGACAAGTGGACACCCGATGACAACGATGGAGGATCTTGTTCATGGTCAATGGTCCGAAAAGGGTCGATACTTCGCAGTATATCTGTTTCAAAGTGGCATTCACAATCGCTCTTGTGATCTACTTCACAAGTGGTAGCCTCGTACTTGACTGGCGACAAAGCCTTGGCTGTGGCAAGTGGGGCAAATTACTACGTTATCACAAATAACAAATCTTCACTAGAGTGTAGGCCTACATCACATATTTTGTCGGGAATACGGGACAGCGGGGTAGAACAAGACATATGCAAGCCTTTTTCTGGCAGCTTTTCAAGTTTTCTTAAAAAGCAGGACTTTCTCAGATAACCACGGCCTTTACGTATATAACTCGGTCATGATTATGGCGATTGCTCGAAGCTGTAGGCAGGTTTGTGGCCTGTTCACCAGGAGAAAACATGCTGGAAAAGAATCGAACTCCACTCCGCTAAAGCGATGCCTTACCGCTGCCGACCTAACCTTCGTTGGCATCGGAGCCATGCTGGGCTCTGGGGTCTACATCCTTCCAGGAGAAATAGCCGGTGAGATGGCGGGACCGGCGGCTGTTCTGTCCTTTCTCATTGCCGGCTCGGTGGCTTTGCTGAACGGCTTCTGCTTCCTGGAATGTGCAGGCCAGGTACCCCAGACGGGAGCAGCCTACGTGTACGCATACGCATCTCTGGGAGAGTTGGTTGCCTTCTTGGTCGGCTGGAATGCCATAGCAATACGAGTCTTGGCCCTCGTGTTTTTAGCACGAGGATGGAGCGCCTACTTCGACGACGTTCTCGGGGGCCACATACGAAATTTCACCATTGAATTTGTTCTCCAGGGCGAGGAATGGGACGCACCTCTTCTTACCAGCTTTCCAGATTTCACAGCCGGTGTTGTGTTACTTCTCGGAAGCATCCCTGTCGTGTTTGATGTGGACATGTATGCCATTGTCAACAATATAGTACTGGCACTTAACTTGGCAGTTGTTTCTTTGCTTTTCATAGTTTCCATGTTCTGTGCGGACTTCTCCCTGCTTACAAAGCATGGGTTTTTTCCTTTAGGCTACGCTGGTGTCATGAAAGGTGCAGTAGCGGCGTTTATAGGGTTTTGTGGATTTGATGCGATCGCGCTCAGCTCTGAAGAAGCCAAAAACCCCAGTAGAGGCCTTCCCATCGGCCTCATCAATGCCTTCGGGGCGTCATTTTCAGCTTACACTGCTGGCACTCTGTCACTCACCGTCTTAACCGACTACCAAGTGATCCAACCACAAGCTCCGTTTGCATCAGCATTCGGAATGATCGGTATTGACTGGTTGAGGTATATCATATCCCTCGGTGCCATCAGCAGTATGACGGGAGGAATATTGACTAACTCTTATTGTCTGTCTCGATTCGTCTACCCGATGTCACGTGATGGACTGCTACCGGCCCTGTTTGCCAAAACCAACGAGCGAACCAAGACACCTATCTGGGCCACCATGTTTGGAACATCCCTGGCCGCCATTTTCAGTGTTATTATGGACTTTGTGAGTGTGATTAATATCATAGCTCTCTTGTGTTTGATGGAATTTACGGTAGTTTGTTCTGCTGTGGTCATTCTGCGCTACAGTCCCTGTACACAGAGTGGCTATGTACCCCTGGACAGCGGAGATGAGGATACTGGAGACGGGTCAATTCTTGAGATGGCCGAATTGAAGCCGCCCGACCAGACGGTCAACGAACTGAATGCGCTGAGCAACTCAGAAAGCAACGAAAGCATCACTGGTGCTAACCGAATGCACGACTGCCTGGCGAATTCTCCGTCAGATTCTTCGCAATCTTCAATTCTTCACTTGATAAAACGACACCCAAGGACGGCTGTGGTTTTCTCACTCGCTTCCCACTTTCTATTCGAAGTCGTGTTGGTGGCGCTGTTGACATACATGCTAAAGGAATTGCAGCATCTTGAGGGCGCCTTCATTTACGGGGTCATTGTAAGCGGCAGCCTCTCTCTAATGATGTGCTATCCTCTCCTGGTTCTTCCTACATACGACGCGGGACTTTCATTCAAAGTGAGTAAACAACTACATTGGTAATGTGCTGATATTAAAGAAAAAACGGAGTTGATCGACGAGTTGTTTGGTTCCCTCCCTACATGTACGTTGTCAATAGCAGGGCCAGAAAGCAGTACCCTGAAGGATCTGAATGTATGTTAATATTGTCATGTCATAAAAAATCGAAATCAAATCGAATTTTATAAAGTAGTAATTCCATCACTACATTTACATGGGTCCAGTTTTTGTTCGTTATCTCATTCAAAGTGAGTAACTTTCCAAATAGAATTGACGGTACATCTTTAAAACGGGGCAGCTTTTCACTTTACGTTTTCCTTTTTGTCCAAGTTTCACCAAAATTAATCGCATAAGCACTTCTTTTTCTTTCCAAACATACTGTGATGCCTTTTTGTCTAGGATACTCATATTTTACACATATTTTGAGGTGGCTGACAAGATTTTACAAAACGGGCAATTTGAGTCAAAGCTGGGCCCAAGCTCAAACTGATGAGTCACAGCCAAAGTTTCAAACGGATCAGGCATCAAACTCAAATCTCGGAATCCACTCAACACTTTCAAATTTGGTATTTTGTTACCAGGTTCCTTTGATGCCATTGCTACCGCTCGTTGCTCTGCTGTGTGACGTCATTCTAATCATCCAACTAGATGCTTTGGTCTTTGGTGAGGGACTCATCTGGATGTCGTTAGGTAAACAATCATGCAGCTTAGTAGTCTTGAGTTTTGATTTATTGTTTGTGTACCCTAATACATATTCCATGTCATTAAAGCCACTGTCAAGACCATTGGGTACAGGATTGCTTCTGGGGTTTGCGTCATTAGTTAGACAATTGAATCAAGACTAGGCACACCAGGTATGAGACAATAAGCGATTGGCGATTTAAATTCGAGTAACATCTGGTGCCCTGACTTGCTCGAATGCTTGGCACATTTTAACTTCTCCAGACCAAAGAGACTGTTGCTACATCACGTGGTTCGGGGCAAGCCTTACGCTAGCAACCTCAGCCCCGGAACGGTGCGATCAATGTATTGATGCTGAGCGTCTCTTACTTAACTATGCAAGAGCTTGTCCCGAATCATGCTATATAGCAACAGTGCCTTTGGTCTGGAGAATTCAAAGTTAAAATGTGCCGAGAATTATGAGCAAGTCAGTGTACCAGATGTTATTCAAATGTAACTCCCAAAGAGTTTAGGTTATTTGCAAATGGCTTATTATCTAAACATACATTTAGGTTTCCATAGCATGCAAGATGTCCAGATATGCGCTGTGGAAAAAGACAAACTGTGGAAAACATTCCGTAGGCGCCCTTTGAAATATCACAGTAAAACAGACTGAATATGAATGGCAGTTGCATGCAAGGTGCATTTCAAAGATTTACGGTCTATTGGATAAACCCTTGCGTTATTGTAAATAACTTGGTTCTCCAAGCTTCAATATTGAATGTAATTAAATTTTTGTTTCCTTTTCTTTCAGGACTGTTGTTGTATTTGGTGTACGGTGTGAGACACAGTTTGGCAAGTACGAGGTTTGAAGACAGCACCCCCAACGATAACTGAGTCCAGTAGCAGCCTGCGCTGATAGTTTCCGTTTTCTCCTCCCCTCCCCCTTCTCCTCCCCCTTCTCCTCCTCCTCCTCCTCCTCCTCCTCCTCCTCCTCCTCCTCCTGCTCCTCCTTATAATTATTATTATTAATTTCTGGTACTGAAACCAAGGATTCCTCAAAAGTGCCTAAGTAACTGTAGCCGCAAGCCTAAAAAAATATGCTGAGAGAAGGCATTACAGTTTTAGAGTGGGAGAAAAGCCCAGAAGATTACTCTGGGAAAAACCCATGGAATCAGGCAGGGACTAAAAACCGAATCCACTTATTGGCCCAGGCGGGATTCGAACACGGGTCACAGCGGTTGACGACTAGTACCGCAACGCCAACCTGACTCCCCATTACTCATCACATGCATTCATGCCATTGACCTTTCTTACCTTTGAAACTGTGATACGAGTCACGATTCACAAGAGGCGAAATCTATCAGCTTTAGGTTAATCCAAAATTCAAAAGGAGCGTGGCCTGAAGATTTGAACAGGACCGAACCGTCATGATCAAAGCAAATCTACAGGCAAGTCAAAAAGAAAGTGACCTGAAACAGACCTCATCAGTGTCAAAACGCCGTATAAATAATCAACACTCCATTTTTTGTGGGGTAAGAAGAATTTCCCACTTTTCAGTGAGGCGGTCGCACTGACCACAAATTCGTATCCTATGGAGACACACACACAATAGGGAACAAGACATTGTAAAGGTCTCCACACGGCAATTTCTATAGATGAATAGGTCTACAAGCTTTTCACGAAATAGATATATGGGTTTTACTCAAAAACTAGGATTTTTCAAGGTGGGTTGATCCGTTGCAAATGGAAGAGTTTTAGAAAAGGGATATTAATTCCAAATTTCAGCCAAGGAAACTAATTCTGGTTAAAATAAGAGCATTTTGAAACTTCACTTTCAAAATTGAACACTGTACTACACGAGAACAAAGAAATGTCTCCACAAGGATACAAATTTGAGAATGGGTGTACATGTACGTGTGTGTTTACCCGCAGCTGTTACTCACGAACTATGCGTTCTTATTAGAAAGGTTCGCTCTCTGTTGGAAAGTGGGCGAATTGCCTTTATACTGATTGTACTTATTTCTCGATTGGCCAATTATTCGCCCTGTGGAGCCTATCATCCAATCAGTGAGTCTGTTGTATTGAGGCCCACTAATTGATTCCCCAACAATTAATTTGCCTGCTTTAAGGAACAGTCGCTCTCGAACGAGCCACTATCAATCACCAATCCAAACAACATTAAATTATTTTGGTGGTGGTCATTTTGAACAGTAAGCCGAAAAGGGTAACTACATATTACTTTTTACATGTAACTTCTAGCTTGGTAAAACAAATTTAAAGTAGCACTATAGTATGTCGATCTTCCACAATCTTCCTGCTTTTGGAATTCCTATTCCAAATCATACTCTAGTTTCGGTAACTGCTTGTGAAAGTAAAATAATGACTGTGTTATTTCTTATGACTCAATAAATGATAATGTTCAAGTACAATTAAGTTTACAGCTGTTTTTCTGAACTAACAATATTAGGTGGGATGTTGTGGGGAATCATAGAAAATCATCCAAACTTATTTTGTCCCATTTGGCACCCCATATACAATAGGGCGCTATCAGACAGTGTGCCAACGTCAATTCGTGGAGACGCACGCAGAGAACGGTCATGTACGTATTATCGTGGAGCTATACTGAAGACGCAGACAGGGCTCTGGAGTGCTCTGAAACGTGCAAAACTAAATCAGGCCAAATTTACTCACTCTTCAGCTTGCAAATTTCTCCAAAACGTCCACTGGGCAAGTATTTTACCAACCATGTTTGCAGACTCAATTCAATTTTTAAAGGAGACTTTTCTTCAATATTTTGGCGATCATGAAGTGTAGGGCCCGGTTCTTATAAGGGAACGAACTTACAAACTAAAGAAGAAACCACTCTAAAACAACCCAAAATTACTTTTACGGTTGTTTTTTGACTCACCTATGGTGTCTACGTTGACATTATGTTGAATACGAACAGGAGTAATGGAAAGAGGCTTTGATTTTTGAGGGAAATTACGCCAAGCGACGACGCCTGCTCTCACGGAGTGAAAAAGTGGATAATGTGACATGTCCAAACCTGATATGAAAGAACGGTGCTGATTGGGTGGAAATATTTGTGTCCTCAACTTTGATACGGGGAGTAAGTATTTAAGAGGCCACAGCTCAACGCATGCGCAGTAATGAAAACGATCGGTACCTATAAGGCTTGTCATGATTGGCTAATATTTAAGTTGCATAAATTTGCATTTTATAAAGGCCGTGTTGGATTGGACAAAAGTTTTTACAGCCGGGGGTGTAAGTTTGTTAAATATAAGAAACATAAAACGTGCGAAAAGCTATTCGCGCTAATATTCATCATACATTTTATCGGTAGAAAAGCTATGAGTCAACAATTTGTGAATTTAGAGAGCAACTTGTGCAATAAAATGGATCTGTTCGGCCTTGTTGCTGTTTTGGCAACAGTGGAGACATGCAAGGAATGGCTCAGAGAAAGGGGACTCCTTGTAAAACCAGGAGTACATCTGATTTGCGGGAATTGGCAGCATCATTTCATTGAGATGCGACGTGGCCAGGCTCGGATTAAGTGTTTCGTAGGCCCTAGGCACCAGTGTTTCGTAGGCCCTACTCCGTCCTACCACCGGTACCAAATTCAGCGTACAAAGCACTATACGAGTCCTTGAATCAGCTATTCGGAGCTACAAAATTAAATTGCTACAATTATTTATTCAGGGACAAAAATAGTTTGGGGAACGACATGTCCCCCCGCCCCCCACCCCCCCCCCCCCCCCCCACACCGATCGACGCTCATGGTTGGCACCGTGTTTCAGTTGGTGAAATCGAAAATTTTGAGAGAGACCCTAGAACTTTTTGACAACGTTTCTGTGCGCGTGTGTGTGGGTACGTGTGGTGTGGGTAGGCCTATATATGTTTTATGGCACACTGCGGTATTTTCGTAGGCCCCCGAATTTTTCGTAGGCCCTAGGTACAGTGCCTACTGTGCCTATTGGGTAATCCGTGCCTGCACGTGGCCACCAGGGTGGGCGAAGCGATTGTACCAAATTAAACTGAGGTGCTGTAGCTGTGGCAGAAAGAAATCAATTCGGATCGGGAGTTTCTTCTTTCAGAGCCGGCTAACCTTACGAGCGTTGACATCACTGATGTACACGTTTGCATATCGAGCTTCAATTATTTTTGTGGAGACTATGGAGAAATGTGTAGTAAATTAAGACTAGTCGCGTTGTGCCGTCGCATAGTCTCCTCATGCCATGGCATGGTCGCGTCGTACTTTGGCATAGTCGCGTCATGCCATCACAAAGTCACGTCATGCCGTCACATCGTGCCGTCGCATTGTCGCATCGTGCCGTCGCATAGTCGCGTTGTTCCATTGCGTTGTCACGTCGTGCCGTTGAGTCGCGTCATTCTGTTGCGTCGTGCCTTCGCATAGTTCTGTATACTGTTTGTATAGGGCAGTTGCATAATCACGTCGTGCTGTCATAAAGTCATGTCGTGCCGTCTCATAGTCGCGTCGTGCGTCGTGCCGTGGCATAGTCGCGTTGTGCCGTCGCGACGGCACAACGCGTCGCATAGTCGCGTAGTGCCGTCGCATAGTCGCATCGTGCCATAGAATTTTCGCGTTGTGCTGTCGCAGCCGCATCATGTCGTTGCGTCGTGCCGTCGCATAGTTCTATTTACTGTTTGTATAGCGCCGTTGCATAATCACGTCGTGTCATCGCAATTAAAGTCGCGTCGTGCCATCTCATAGTCGCGTTGTGCCGTCGCATAGTCGCGTTGTGCCGTCGCATAGTCACGTCATGCGGTTGCATTTTCACGTTGTGCCGTTGCATAGTCGAGTCGTGCCATCGCCTTGTCGTGTCGTGCCATCGCAGTCCGTTATGCCATCGCGTCGAGCCATTGCATAGTTCTGTGTACTGTTTGTATAGCGCCATTGCATAATCACGTCGTGCCGTCAACAAAACAAAACCCAAAATGTCGGGATATTTTGGGTTTCGTTTTGTTTGACTCACCCTGTACATTATTTGTAGTTTGTAGCAATTGGTACACCAAATATATTACTTAGTATAGGCGCATGTGATGTTGTCAACTACGATCTAAACACAACATCAACTTCTGCTTGTCATCAGAAATTAAAATAAGAGTTGGCCTAAGAGACCTAAGCTAGGTAAAAGGGCGCCCTCTTTGTCGGCGCACGGAACCCGTATACCTTTCTACGCTTGGTTGGCAAACTGCACATATTGCCAATCACAGGTTGCAAAACTATGAAGGTCCAACACTGCAAAAATGAAGAAGAGCCGCCATTACAGATAACCAAAATATTCGACACTTGAAAATGCAACAGTGTCAACAAAGTTAACATAATTATAGCCTACAACATAATTTCTACATATGCTTTTTGTACTATGTATTGAAGGCGTTTTGAGGGCGTTTTTCTGGAAAATTAATAACGGCCAACCTTAACCACGTCTTAAATTTCTGCGCCTGCGGAATCCCATATAAAATAGCGCCAATGTTTTCCAATAAAAGAAAGGTCTTTTACTGAGTGAGACTCGTACGGCTTGGGATGTCTTGGATGCGTGGATGCGCGGATGCGGGGTGGGCATGAAGTAAATTGAGATCAATAGAGGACGCTATAGACAGCCGACTGCCACGCAGCCATGGATGCAGCCATAGGACGGAGTGGCCTGTATTCAGTGGCGTAGCCACGGGGGGTGTGGGGGGAGACAGCTGAAACCTTGTCGCCCCCCCCCCCCCCCCGTCGCCCCCACCCCTCCCCCCCCCCCCCCACACTGAGATTTTGAGTTTCTAAAAAAATTATCATTGATCTACATGACGCCCCCCCCCCATGAAATGTTCCAGCCCCCAGCCCCCCCCCCCTGAAAATTCCTGGCTACGCCACTGCCTGTATTCTATAGTTGTAGCCAGTTCGACCCTGTATTCTCAGTTGTACCAGTTTTCGTATGTTGTTTATGTGCTGGTTGCTGGTAGCTATTTGCCGCAAACCCCTTTGTGTAATTTTTTCATGAAAATGTTATCTTGGACTTCTGACATGAAGTGACATGTGCCTTCATATTCATTTTTTTAGAAATGTTTATAAAATTCCATGTGTATTTCACTTCATTTGATTTTCTGTTTATTATAATAGTTTATAGTTCATTCACCCCAGGTTGCGATACACTACGACTTGTTACTCTCAAAGTTTTGCAGCCTTTGTATGTTTGAAGACACAACAGCTATATAAGTCTTTTGCATGTGCATGTACATGTACTTTAATTTAGTTAACTTGCCCACAAATGACATGTTCCTGTTGGAAAATTTCAAAAGCATATTATTATTGTCATTGGATGAAGAAGATGCATTTGTGTATGTGTCGCACTTATATACAAGTAGATATTATCCATTCTGGTCTGATATTCTGTCATATAATTGTTACCTGCTAGCCTATGTCATCATAATTTTATGTAAGGAAAACCATTCCATGTTATCCATGTCGTATCACTTTGTCCTCTGCGCCACTTTTTCACTGTATTTATGCTTCTTTGGTTATCTTTTTCCACAGTTAACCGTACGCAAGGAATAAATATTTGAACCTACTCTGGTGTCCTTGTGCTGGTTAACTAGCTGGATAATGGGCGTCCCATACTATCCGAGGCCAGAATACGATTGTTCTGATAAACCTTGGGTGAGTGGTTTGGCACAACCGACCACTGTTAGAATTGTTCTGATAAAACTTACACAACCCGACCACTATTTAGAATTGGTGCGATAAACCTTTGTTGAGTGGTTGGCCACAACCCGACCACTGTTTAGAATTGTTCTGATAAGCCTTTGTTGATGAAAAGCCTTTTTTTTTGAGTGGTTGGGCACAATCCGGCAACCACTGTTTGAGTGATCGGATTATATAACCTTATCAATCAATCTTTGTTGAGCAACGGCGGATCCTGGGGGGATGGGGCCATAAAAAAAAGAACCCATTTTTCTTTTCTTTTTCAGTAACATCGCAAAAAAGCAGCTATTGCGTACACTATTGCATATGTTAATCTGAGGAACCGTTAAGTCAGGGACAAAGAGACAGATTTTCTTTATGCATTTATTGCCATGTGAAGCTTCTCGTTGGTCATTTTGTCAACCACAATTGAACCGATACGACCAAATACGCTCGAAGGACCACAACGCGAATTGACGCATCACCACTCCACCATGTTTAAACTATTGGTAAGTTCGTGTAACCAATGTCACCCCTTGTCTAGAGTTGCAAACACTGAGAAGATCTTTTTGGCAATAAAATATTCACCTTTTTTTCTTGACTATAGGTAACCGTGTTCTTGCTGTCTCTAGCTGTAACACCGTCAGTGTCTTGGGACAGCAGATGTCCTCCAATAACGGGTAAGTAACTTGAACTGTTACTTCAGCGGTTTAACACAGCTAGTGAGAAAGACATTTGTAAATGTGAAGCGAATTTAATCAACACCAGGCGATGGAATATCCTCTTGCACAGAGTCTGTGATATATGAGCAGACTCGGCAATCAATAATTACGCAAAACAAGACTGCGTCTTGACCTCGAGATTGACACAAAAATGTTCGTAACTTAACTGGGCAGTATTTTATGAAATAATTGTCTAACTCAACGAACGCGAACTTTGTAGTTTTAGGAGTTTACTAAAGTGCATTTGATAAATTATCTGAAATACAACTCAGTTGAGGTAAATTTTACCTTTATTTTGCATTATTATTCAGATTTCATGAGGCTGTCGATTTCTTCCCTGTGGCGCGAAGAGGTTGAGCAGGGTGGTGCCTTCTGGGCATGCGCAGCTTGTCACCGGATGGTCTGCACCCTGGAGCAGATAAAGACGGCCTACTACGAGGAGGGTTATGGGACCGAGACTCTGTCCTGGTACAACCCTGACCCGAACACCTTGGGCATGAGCGGTCTTGGTCTGGCCGATGTCAACGCTTGCTCGGTGTTGACGTCTGGACCGTGCTTGTTCGAGGTAGACGGTGTTCGTGCCGTGAGAGTCTTCCCGGGCACGCAGTCCAATCACGGCCACGCCTTGTGCTGCCAGCGGCCGGATGACGAGTCGGACATGAGGTCTTACCGATTCGAATAGCATCTTCACAAGCCACATTAAATTGGAATGTTTTGCCTTTGGAGATGTTGTCAAGATTGCATCGTCAGGCTGTCTTAAAGGGCCCAGCATGAAATGTACAGGGTGGTTCGAGAAAAAAAAGGACACCCACTTTTGGCATCGATTTCCAACTACGGCGGCACTTAGGGGTTAGCTAATTCAATTTAATGAAACGTGTTGTTCTAGAGTAGTTGTCTCCACAAAGAGTGTTGTATTTTTGTTTAATGGGTAGATCCGCATTACGGTGCTGACGAGTGTTTGTGTAGGGCGCCCTCTTTTGGAAAAAAATGATGGTGGCAAAAAGTACGGAGCGTCCTAGGCCTACACTGTTGAACTTATATTGTTTATTGTGTGTATTTTTCCTTCCACGGTATCTGACGATTTTTAAACTTGTTATGTCATTATATGACGACTAATTGTCGAACCAACTTTATAACAATGTAATTTGTTCTGGAGTTTTCGTCTGCACAAAGTTGATTGAATTTTTCGTGAATAATACACTGCATTTTCTTTAAATCATATTAAATTCATTATTCCATGGTTCCTGTCAATTTCCAAACGACTTGTGTCGAATATCACTGCCAATAATTGGACGCAATTTCAGTCGCATGCAATATGTTTATCGAGAGTTATCGTCTCCACAAAGAGTGTTTTACTTCTGTTCAATTAGAAGCGTTTGAATTCAGATTGCATTTTTCGCGATTAATACATTGATTTTCTTTAAATCATATTTAATTTATTCTTCCATGGTTCTCGTCAATTTTCAAACCTGTTGTGTCAAATACAATGGCTAATTATTGGACGCATCTCCAATTTAATGCAACGTGTTGTTCTGGAGTTATTGTCTCCACAAGAGTGTTTTATTTTTTTTAATGGTCAGATTGTCGCATTGACAGAATTCTTTACGGTGCTGACCAGTGTTTGTGTAGCGCGCCCTCTTTTGGAAGAAATTGATGGTGGCAAAAAGTACGGAGCGTCCTACAATGTTGTTTTATTGTTTTGTTGTGTGTATTTTTTCTTCCGCGCTATCTGACCATTTTGAAGCTTGTTATGTCATTATATCACGACTAATTGTCGAACCACTTTTATAACAATGCAAATTGTTATTCTGGAGTATTCGTCTGCACAAAGAATTTTATTTTTATTTTTGTTCAATTAAAACTGACTTAGATTAGGAATTAATTTTTCGTGATTTATACACTGTATTTTCTTTAAATCGTATTAAATTCATGATTTCATGATTCCCGTCAATTTCAAAACGACTTGTGTCAAATATCACGACCAATAATTGGACGCAATTTCAGTCTAATGCAATATGTTTTTCGAGAGTTATCGTCTCCACAAAGAGTGGTTTACTTTTGTTCAAAATTCGGATTGAATTCGGATTGAATTTGTCTTCATAAATACACGGCATTTTCTTTAAATCATATTAAATACATTCTTCCGCGGTTCTTGTCAATTTTCGTCACGGTTGTGTTAAATATAATGGCTAATTATTGGACGTAATTTCAATTAAATGCAAAATGTTGTTCTGGAGTTATTGTCTCCACAAGATGATTGTATTTTTGTTTAATGGGCAGTCATGATCCGCATTGACAGAAGTCTTTACGGTGCTGACCAGTGTTTGTGTAGCGCGCCCTCTTTTGGAAGAAATTGATGGTAGCAAAAAGTACGGAGCGTCCTTGACACTTTGTAATGTTTTATTGTCGTTGAGGGTATTTTTTTTTCTTCCACAATAGCCGTCGATTTGTTTTTATACTTTTTAAGTCATTATCTAACGACTATTTGTCGAACCAATTTTATAACAATACAATAGGTTAATCTGGAGTTATCGTCTGGACAAAGATTTTTTTATATATATTTTTTAGTCGGAATGAACTTTGATTGAAGTTTGAAGTTTTCGTGACTAAAACACTATTTTCTTTAAATCATATTAAATGTATTCTTCCACGGTTCTCGTCAATTTTAAATTATGTTGTGTCAAAGATAATGGATAATAATCGGACGCAATTTCAATTCAATGCAATGTGTTTTTCTTGAGTTATTGTCTCTAGAAATAGAGAGGCTAGCAGAGGCCTCCTCTCTACGCGATGCCAAGAAGAAACCCCCATTCAAAAGTGGTTGATTCCAGCGTACTTTAAATGCGATATGCACGTGTTCATGGGAAAAATGTCAGTGCTGCTTGTGTAAGTTTCGAGTACGGAGTAGGACTCAAAACTATTGAATATTGTGCATGTCACGCTGAATATTTTTAAAGGACATTCATAGAATTCACATCTTCATTATATTCGCTACAAAAAGTGGCACAGTCATTGTGACTTATTCTGTCGACATAACGGAATCCAGATCCAGACGCCAGCTATGATTTTAGACACCATTTTGTGAGGCGTGCCGAGTTGAGCGCGATTCAGTCATGGAGGCAAGAACGCCTAAACACGGCAGCGCTGCCGCTGATCAGTGCGACGACGCGTCCTCGCACGCCCAGCTTTGTCATGTTTGTGAACGTTTATCAGGATGGTCTCGACTTGAAATTGATAATCTTATCAAGCAACAAGATGTACCTGGTATGTATGTATTTATTTTGTGAAAATTTTTCTTAGTTGTCCCAGGTTTTTATGTCTATCATTTTTGCAGTGACTGACCTTCATTCATTGAGTACTCCTAGAACTATGAGGCTCCACTACGTGGAGCCTCATAGTTCTAGGAGTATTCATTGAGATGATTCTGAACATGATGAAGAAAAATGGTGTCAGGTTGCAACATTCTTTCCCCGCATGGAATAACCACTTTTTCGTGGGGGTGTAAATGGTGAATGTAATGTCCAAAAACATATTACTAGGTACAAGCAATATCACGCTCGATTAAATATTTGATGCGCATGCGTGGCAATGCCTTTGCCGTATGTTCCAATGAACTCACCTCTTCTGGTTATTTCTTTGAATTTCATGGGTGTGTTCGTTTAGCTGACCCAGGTTGACACGGGTCAGCCCCTTGCCGTTCGATTAGCTCTAACGTAAAAAAAAACCCTAATTAAATGTTTTGTTTGGGGCATGATTTTGTATTCTTCATAAATGAATGAAACAACATTCTATTGTCATTTATTCAAAAATTTTACTCTTAAATTTTAGTTATAAATATGTGTCTTTATCCTTTCAGCTAAATGGTGGCAGCAGAATGAACTGAATCAAGCTTTCTTAAAAAACAACTACAAAAAAATCTAACCTACAAAGATACTTTCCCAAAGATTCTGTCATCGTTACATCCCAAGAAACCATGTATCATCTTGGAAGCTTCTTAAAAAAGATTCAAACTAAGTCTCCCAATCTATATCTCCAAAAAGATTCAAACTAGAGCCTCCCAACTGAATGACTCTGTTTCTCTTCGTTCACAGTTTCTGAACTTACTGCAAGCCTTCAACATTGACAAGACAAGATCAAGGGAGAGGAGGATGGCTCTGGCAGGCCATTGCATCCGCCACCCGGAGCTAGCAGCCCACAACACCATCCTGTGGGAGCCAACTCTTGGAACTGCCAGGAGGGGGCGGACACAGGGGAGCTGAGGACTCTAATGCTGAATAGGGAAGAGTGGAGGGCGGCGACCAAGTCCCGAGATGGTGTAGGTTAGGCTGCACCCTGGCATCGCACTGCAACTGAAACCAAAAAAAAATTGGACAATGTTGTGAATCAGCCAGTATCACCATTCCGTGGATTGCAAAAGGTACTAAAGCTGTAGAAATCACAGTTACCAATGAAATGGCTTTGGGAATATACAAATATGCAATGATTTTGCGCGAAGTGACTGCATTGTGGCCACGATTGTTCCCTGCAAGCAAGATACCTAGTAGCAGACATATTTGGGATATGTTTGTGAAGAAGTTAAAGACAATAGAACGGATGAGCAGTAACCGAAAAGGTCGGCTCAGAGAATGGTTGAAGCTTCCATTTGTTACGGTACCAGATCCACAGCAGGTACCATGCTCTTCGGATGATAGCGCAAGTGAGGAAAGTGAAGATGGCGAGTGGAGGAGTCCTGTTGATAAAGAGAACCTTAGAGAAGGCAAAAAGACAAACAAAGACAAGGAAGTTCGGAAGATGGACAACATAAGAAAATCCGCATCAAAGGCTTCTGAGTACAAACTTTGTGAGATGGTAGAAGGCATACCTCTCCTCATTGATATTGTGAAGAAGGCACTCTTAATCAATCAAGTGTAACCATGGATAACAACTAACAAGAGGCGATTAAAGACCAAATCAGGTTTTACAAGCCAGTAAACTTCAGCAGCAAAATAGATTTAGAACTTTATAACACGTCACAAGATAAGTAACAATTAAATACGCAAAACCAACCTTGCCCAGGTACTTCAGTAATACCGAATATACAAACTTTCTACACTGGCTAACAATGGACAAGGAGAGCCAAGTACTAGCTCAGACAACAATGAAATGCAAGACAAGGAGAAAGACTTTCAGAGCTTAAATTAAAATACCTTGTCAAAGGGGCATCACCATCCAAAAGAAAGAAAATGAATCCTTTTCCTGGTGACACTTTACTTGGAAAACATAACAGCCTCAAGTTCAAAACAGCAGGAAGTATCCAGCATCGTTATAGAAAGGAGTTGTGCTGAGGAGAAGCACAAATGCTGACTTTGAGAAATATCTTGAAGATGTTGATGAGCCGTATGTCGGAAAAATGGACTTCTTAACAGTGCAGTTTGATGCCCCATTGGAGAAGGACTGGATCGATAACTGCCTAAAATTTGATTTCTAGTTGGTGAGTATCTTGTTGTTAAACACACACAATGACTCTCACTACAGCTCTCTTTACTTTTTGCGATACTGTCATTATGCATATTAAATAAGTGGCCTTAGACATTTTTGTCAAAAGTAAAAGTTAGACTTATCCCAAAATGTGACTTTTTGTCACCTTTTAACAACTCTCACGTTGAAATGAAATTAGCTGAAAGGTTAATTTTTTCCTAATTTTAATCTTCCCTGTAAATTCATTCTTATTACCTTGCTTATTATCTTCAAATTTCTTGCTAGGCTTTGGAAGACTGCTTTGAAGAACCATGGATTGAGGAACAACTTTGACAGATCAAGCGGATCTCATCTTCAGTAATTCCGGTACAATCATGGGCCATTCTTCAGGTCTGATAAGCAGCTGGAGCAGAGACTACAAGCTTCTCAGAGGTAAAGTTCAAAGGTCAGACAGAATAACAAACATCAGATTGAAAATAGGCTGTGTATGAAATACGCTAAAAGCTGTTGTTAGCATCAGTGGCGCACCCAAGGGGGGAGGGCTTCTGGGGGCTTGAGCCCTCTCCCCCCAGAGGTTGTCCTTTTTTTCTGTGTAATTTTTTTTAGTTCCATGATTTAATCTTGGTGATATATATGTGGCCTATTTTCAAGAAGTATTATAGGGCTGTAAGTGGCGCCATCAACGTCAAAATATTCAGCGCCCGCCCGCCCCCCCTTTTTTTTTTTCCAAACATTTTTGGCAAACGTTTTTGAAAATTTTTTAACTTCTAACAAAAAATTTGTGAGCCCCCCCCCCCTACTAAATCCTGGGTGCGCCACTGGTCAGCATATTCCCGCATACTTTGTAATGGTAGAAACTATGGACACGTTTGTTACTGTAGGGATCTTAATCCGGATTCTTGGGAACCAATACCATGCTGTGACAGACAAAACTGCTCTCGATGGGAGTCATAACCCTAACCCTCCAGGGTATTTTGTCTAGAAACCCTGCTGAACGCAGCAACACGCAACACTTGTCAAAATGACAAGCCTGCTCGGTGATGCAAGATTCATCAGGCATGTCTGCTTAAAAATCTCAAGGCCGAAAATCTCAAGGCCGAAAATCTCAAGGCCAACGTGCCTCAGAGTCATATGGTCACCGACTGCGGCAGGATGCAACTGTGATTGTCTCAGAATTGGCAGTTCATGCAGGGTTCGACTTTAGCCCGCTAGCCAAATGCTAGTCAAAACAGCAGATGGCTAGTCAAACTATTCCTTACATGTATACACGCAAAGATTTTATGGTATTCGGAACAGATGAGGGATAAACACTCAACGAGCAAGGCCGGAAATATCTGTCAGCGACCCGCTCGCAGCGAGCGAGGCCGGAAATATCAGGGTGTGCTACCCGCAGATGACGGCCTGAGCCCGTCTGGCATCGAGGTTCGTGAAAATAATCCCGCGCCTAGGTCCGGTCAATTTCAAAGTAATTCCGTCGCAAACTGGTTAAGTAGCCCGGCTGGTGAGTCAAAAATTATCGGGCTACGGCAAAGATGAAAGGACAGGAAGAAATAAATCATTAAATTCAGAAAGCAAACCTGTATCAATTTGTGTTTTATTTTATTAACTGCTTGGGGTTAAACTATTAGATCTGTTTATCAAAAATACTGACAAGATTGCCTCGGGATACACGTTTCACATGCATGCACATTGTTGTTTACGCGTATGAGACACTCTATAAAAGAAAAACATGCGAGCTAAGTTAAGAGTTTGTTTTTAGTAGCCCGCCTGGCTGTGAAAAACAAGTTAAGGTCGAACCCTGCATGTCTATATGAACCTCAATTATACACCGAAGTAACTGCATATAAATTGCGCGCATTGCGCACTCACGTATAAGGCTTTCCTGCACGCTACGGACTGAGAACTGTAACCGCTCAGTCTCATGTCCAGCATGAAATCCTGCAGTTATCAAAGGTTACAATGCAATGATGTAATTAATTTCTTGCATTTAAGTATACAACCAATTATCGTTTTGACTTAAATGCATGATAAAACAAAACATTTACAATTAGGACGTTTCGAAATGCAGCGCGCCACAAAGAGTTTGCCACGGAGAGTTCATTATTCCCAGTGCATTGTGGGAGATGGTCGACAAATTCGCAGCTCTGGCTATTTGAAATTGTTAGTTTTTCTGGTCAGTAGTTTCGCTAGCGTATGATTCGAGTATCTGTTTGCCCCTATCTTTTCTTTTTATCAATATGGTGTTATCGTAAGGCGGCAGAACGCTGTGCCCCAATCCTCAAAAAATTAAAATGTAGCTCAAGTTGTCTACTGATACTCGTTCAAATGGGCTGTGTTTTGTCGATCTTAAACTTGAAAAATTGTCTCTCCATAGCAAACTCTTGGTGGCGCACTGCATTGTGAAACGCCCAAATTGTTGTCTGCTGTGATGTGGGATATTCTTCGGTTTTACAAGTGTAATCGCCTCGGGTGCTGTGCGCCCCTCTGGCCTTAAAACAGCGTATCCCACATCACAGCAGTCAACAATTACAAATGTAATACATTTCAGTGGTTATATTTCTGAAATAAGCCTTAAATCCAACATAACAATGAAAAGAGCATAAAAGTCGGAGCTACAATGTTTGTATGTATAAGGTCACTGAGAAATCTAAATGTTTCTTAGCGACATGGTCACGATGAGGAGAAATACACGATTTGGTTTTTGGCCAGTAATTTTCCTCCCAACGCAGCTAACAAGTTTTTGTTGCCACAGAACTGCCACTATGTCACCCTTTTCATTGCAGCACCAAACTAAAAGGAACTTGTTCTTCTACATGTCACTAGCACATGGATGTAGTTGTTGCTTTGAATGCTTGCTTGGTTTATTGTGTCTCAGTACAGCTCAGTACATCACACGAAGTTGTATGCTTATCAAAGGGCTACATTGTTCTAGGGTGCAATCTGATCCCAGTTGGGGTCTTATTCATTATTCATTTAGGGTTCATGCATTCCAATGTGGATGAGGTAATGTCTGGGTCTGGGTCTGGGTCTGTGGTTTCAGAGCACTAGGTGCTATGTATAGCTTTCATGCAAGGATACTACACATGGTTCTACTGTTCTACTGTTACAACAGGCCTGAATGCATTTGGTTCATATACAAGGCCATTGAATTAAAATAATTATGTGGTTGTAGGATTTTAATAGGTTTTGTAGTTTGCCTGAGAGGCCTGCATTACCGGTACTAAGATTACATGTGTGCATGTGAGCAAAATTTTGCACCATAAAATAAGGAGACACACAAATCAGGATGCGGTGGCAATATGTACTTTAATTGAACAGGTCTGGCTGGCATTAATACACAGTTAAACCATGGAGCAAGGAAAAGGGTTCGTAGATACTGCAAAAACCAAGAAAACCAATTATGTTCTTGTAGTCTGGTTCCCTGGTCCATCTGTTGTCTCGGGTCTCGCCTTTATCCGTTGATTAATACAAATCTGGAAAACCAAAAGCCCAGCGCTTAGCTTTGAAGAGGTGGTTCAAGAGCTGGAACAACCCTTAGCCAATTGTAGTGCCATTTTGGTGTCAAGTTGGTGCAGTTTTGGTGCAGGCATTTGAAATACATTGGTGTACCCCAAAACTACACCAGAGCTTTGTTATTGGTGCACCAAATTAAGCAATGTCTAGTCACTTAGGCCTAATTGAATAATTCAAGTGTAGACTTCACGTAGGCATATAAATGCAAAAAATTCATAAATAAAAATTCTATCCTTCAGTGGGCAAGAACAGGTTTAATATATTCCATGGTTGAACTGTAGAGCAATACATGTGGCTGAGGTGTATTAAATTAAAGAGACACAAATGACATGAAAGACTTCAGTACATATTAATTGTAAATGTATTAACACAGTCATCTCACACACACAAAAGTGTATCAATTGAAAGTTAATGTGCGATCACATCTAGTGGAAAACCTTTTCTTTTGAACTACATGTAATTCTGCATATTTTCCAATAATTAATTGCATCTTGTCACATATGGAACAAAAAATGGCAATAAAAATGTAATCTTGGTAAATTTCACTATTACACATACATGTACAATAGTTGTCATCACCAAGCAGTCAGTCAATATTGCAAGTGGCAATGAAAGAATAAACAATTAAATGTGCGGCATGATGAGTTGGATGAAATAGCACCTTTGATTGAATATATCTGTTATGGTGACGCTTAATAAAAATATATGAAAGAGTGTAACAAAGATGTGATGAGGTAGATAAAATAGCACATTTGTTTTGATAAAAAAACACACATTTGAAACTATAAACAATACATGTATCATCTTGCACATGTAATTAACACATTTTGTGGAAAACCTATTCTTTTTAACTGAAGTTCACACCTCATAATAAGGGAAACCTTACGTTTTGCATCGAACTACATTTTTTACAATTGGTTAATCGGTACATTTGGAGCATAAAATGGCAAGAAATATTAAACCTTGGTGGATTTTGGTATGAAACATACATGAACAATGTTGTCATCACTCAATATTGTTCATGTATGTTTCATATTGCAAATGGCTATGAAAGAAAAAAAAGTGGTATAATTTGGTGAATAAAATAGCACCTTTGGTGGAATAAATCTGCTTTTATAATAAAAAAAATTATGAAAGTGTAACCATTAAAAGCTGCGATGAGGTAGATAACATAGCAGCCAGTCCGCAGTGCACGCGAAAGTGCTTCCTTTTCTTTGCAACGTATTCATAAATTCCCGTGCGTGACCTCGCCTTGCATATTTAATGAGCTGGAATAGCCTGTGGAATGTGGGAAAATACTCACTGATCACTTTGTTGATATAAAATCACAGATGAAGAGTATATCTTTCAAACTGTTGAAGTTTGAATGAGATTTTGTATCGATTAAAATGAGAAATTTTGGGACGAATTTTGGTTCAAAAAAGGAAATAATCGCGATAGAAAATACGTTAACAGCAACATTCCAAACAGACGCTGAATACATGAAACTTAAACATGTTTTATTTACTCTGTTTATGTTATGCAAGCTGAAAAACTGCATAAAACACATCAACATTGAGGTAGTTTAAATTAAACGTGACATTTACCATAAAAATATAAAGATTTACACATATAAAGATTCACACATATATATAATATGATGTATTGGCATAATAAAAGTTGTTTTCTTGACTCGTCTCTGCGACCGTACAAGCTTCTTCAGTTCCGGAGGAACAAACATTGCAGAGGAAGGGGTAGAAACGGGCCCGGCCTTCCGTGACGTACATGAAGATACATGAAGATAGCAGATTCCTGGACAATCTCTCAAGATGGGCTTGAAATATTGCACCAAAAAGAGAGTTGCCATCCCAATTGAGGAGCAGGCCATCTCTAGCAAAGTGCTAGTCCTGTAGCTCTTCACCAATGTCAAAGAATTGACAGTGCAGCTCGGCACAGACATTACCAAACTTGATGTGGTAAAAACGTGAAACATCAAGACCCTCATTGTCCTTGCGGGGAAGTATTGCACTGACTGCCAAC